AGAGAGAGAAGGAAGGAAGGGAGGGATTTTTCTTTATCTAAGCTCTGCAGTGACATTCTGGGCTGTGAGGGCAGCCACAGGGCTGTGTGCTTACCTCTTGCTTACCCACCTTATATCATGCTGTTCAGAGCTGCGAGGCTGACGGTAAGTGTAATTTGATTAGAGGGGTTGTTTAGCGTTCCAGCAGTGGGAACTCTGTGTTAATTGGTGTTTTTCAAGATTTACAGTACGTAGTGATACCTTAGGGTTGTGCAGGGGTTCAGGGTATACAGAAGATGCTTATCCCCTTTATATCATTTGATCCCCACAGCAAAACATAAGGACACTAACTCTGAGAGGTTACTGTCACCGTCACACCCTTGATCCCAAGTTGAACCTTAGTCTTAATGAGAATCCTCTGTTCTCATCCTTCTTTTGTCTCCATCTCTGTCCTGCTTGTGATGAGCCATATGGGATTCTGAAATGCTTTCTAGAATGATCCAAGCTGTTAGATGGACCTAATAGATGTAGCTCTTGGCAGTGACCCCATGTTTTATGAAGCTCAAATGAATCTTCCCTTGAGAATGATGTGCTTAGGACCAACTCTCAGAGGCATCTTTTAGAAAAATAGGAGGGCTGGTCAAATGTATGGAGGTGACTCTGTCTGCTCTAACCACTGCTAGAGTCCCAGAGCACATTGGCATAGCTGAGGCTCTGAGCCACCTGCTGACCTTGGTTAACTTGTGATGTCCCAAGCCTTTGCCACAGAACCTCTTTCCCCTGACCCCTGCATAATACCTGTTACTCCCTGCCCTTGTTTTCGAATCTGGATTCCTTACATCAAAAGATGTACAACTCAAAAGATGCCGCCACATCGCTAGGATCTCATCCAATCACTAATCAGTCTAGTCCATCATCCTATATGTGTAAATGTCTCCCATTTACAGGGAGGGGTGAGAACACTCAGTGTGGGTTTCCATCACTCTGGTCCAGTTTCACCCTTTCAGGCATCTGGGATAATTGAGCTAAGGGACAATGTCTGTGTCTCTTTTGCTGGCACGTATCTCTTGCTCGCACATATCTCTTGCTCTGAACCTCTTTCAATGTGTTTGTGTAATACTGGATTTTCCTGAATTCCTAACCCATTTATTTGTTCCTTTACCCCCAGCCACTGTTCTTCCTTCTCTTTGTTAATAACCTTTGGAAGAGACACTAGAATCGCCACTGTGCCGTTCCAGATTGCAGGCAGCAATGCTTGTCTAGCAAGTACCGCTAGACTTAGGGCACTCCCATTCAGACAGGGTAAGGTTACTTAGATGCCAAAGGCATGAGCCATTTTTCCCACTGGGCCTTAGAGCTGCTTTCACCGTTAACCCCAATTTTGAGGTACAGGAAGCCACCTGTGGAGGCCCACAGAGCATGCGGGGCTGTGCTGGGGCCTCATGAGCACCTCCTGCTGCAGCTCCGGAGCCTGTCCTGCTTGGGCTGTGGTTGGCCGCAGAAGAAAGTGTTCCACACTCCGCTTGCTCTATAAATTACCCAAGGCTCCACAGCGTCTAGACTTTCTTTCTTTATTTGTTTGAAAGTATCGGTCAGATAACTGCAGGTGAAGTTCTTTTAGGCAAACAGTTTTGCTTACAAATCCCAAGCAGGTAGCGGGGTGAACTCTCACAAAGCAAAGCACGTGCCACCATTCAGATGGAGGACAGGGGGTATTACCTGGTCACCTGAACACCTCTCTGTCCCCTTCCTGTTGCTGACCCCTCTCTTCTCAAAAGTAATGCTATCCTAGTGCGGGGTGGGGGGGAGTTTGTATTTTTTTCCTTTAAATAGACTTTATAGAAGTTTTAGGTTCATGGCAAAATTGAGCAGTATGGAAACATCCCACGTACTTCTCACTGCTTCCCTCCCCCCATGCACAGCTGCCCCCACTATCGGCATCCTCACCAGGATGGTCCATTTGTTACAGTCAATGAACCTACCTTGATACGTCATTATCACCCAGAGTCCATAGTTGAAAGTGGGGTTCATCTTGGTCTTGTATCTTCTGTGAGTTTGGACAAATGTATAATGACATGTGTCACCGTTCCAGTGTCATACAGAATTAGTTTCACTGCCCTAAAAATCCTCTATGTTCCTCCATTGATTCCTCCTTCTCCCAACCCTTGGTAAACACTGATCTTTTCATTGTCTCTACAGTTTGCTTTTTCCAGAATGTCACATAGTTGGAATCCTACAGAGTGCAGGCTTTTCAGATGGGATGTTCACTTAGCGATATGCATTTAAAGTTTCTCCATGTCTTTTTGCAGACTGCATGTTCATTTACTGTTAAATAATATTTCTATGTGGAGATAATGGGCATGGGTTTCTGAAGAAAAGTCTGGAGCAGGTTTTATTGCTGAAGTATCTTCTTTGCGCCTGCATAGTGTTAGGACTGATACACTGGCAGGGGGAGTCCTAACCCCTTTCAAGTGCGAAGAGCCCGAAGGATCTCAAATTAGTCAATTCTGTGCATCAGGTTTCTGCCTCCAGAATATGCTGTCAGAATAAAAATATGGTATAGTAGAGTAGAACTCAGGCCAGGGCTTGGCACACAAATGCTTGTTGTAAATGATCCCATGGAGATCAGGTTCTGTTTAATGAGGGCAGACTGTGTGACAAATGGAGTGAAGAAAGGTAATGGCCCAAACACAGCAGAAGTTTCTTTCCCACCCGTGTAACAGTGTGTGGAGCCAGGAGCTCTGCTCGCCGTGAACCTGGAACCCAGGCCCCTTCCATCTTGTGGTTCTGCTACCTCCAAGCCTTGTCGTTTCCTTCATCTATCTCGAGTGACACAGCCTTTTGGACAAAGTGTGAACATGAAGCCGAAGTCACACTCTGAGAATTGGTTTGATGTGTGATCAGCTGTCACCTAGCACAATCCTGGGAATAATGAAGTGATACACAAGGAAGTTGGAGTGTTTTTGTTGTTGTTCTCATCAGTTTTTTGGAGACAGTGGGTCATTCTTTTGCCCAAGTGGAGTGCATTGGCATCATCATTGATCACTGTAACCTCAAACTCCTGGGCTCAAGTGATCCTCCTGCCTCAGCCTCCCAAGTAAGGGGGCCTACAGGTGTGTGTCATGACGGCTGGCCTCAGGAAAGTTTTAATGAGGAGTTGAGGAGATCTAAGTGTGGGGGTACCAATCTGGAGCACGTCAGTGTTGGAGTTGGCCTGGGGGTAGCATAAGTGTGACCCTGAGTTCCCTGGCAGGGTGTGGCTGATAACAGGGTACTGAGAGCCCACAGAGGAGGCTGGAATTTCCAGTGTTCATTGTCCTATCAGGGCCTGCCTGTGTGCCCTGCAGGAAGATACTGACCCACGGCCCCGCACCACGGAGGGGTCTCAGGCTGGCCTCTCTCGGAGCCTGGTGGGCGTCCTGGGACTATGATGGTGTTCCAGCAAGCAGGGCTCTGACCCGCACTCCTGGTACCTGATATCCATTTGGCTGCTCACACCAGATTTTGCTACTTTCTCAGGGTAGCTGATTTCTTGGCCATGATGGTTTCCAAGAGGAAAAAAAAAAGGGGAGTTTCAGCAAGAGAGCTAAAGTCTGGATTAGGTGTGCTGGGAGTGTTTGCAGCCTTCATCTTCAGAACCCCTGAATCAGAGTGTGAGGCCCACTGGGCGGTCTGTCTCAGTCCCCAGGCAGGGAGCTGGATTGGACACCTCTTGCCGTGAATCATGTCTGAGAGGATTTTGAAACCCAGGCAGGACAAACTCAAGTGCACACCAGAGTGTGGGAAGCGGGGGGCCCTGAAGCAGCCCTCCTCCACACCACCTCCTCCCTCTCAAAGGCCGAGGCTGCCAAGCCCGTCTCCCACACACCTCAGCAGAAAGTCCCTGGCTGTCCTCCCAGCCGCCTTCCTCTGACCTCGTGAGGTGTGAGGAGGAGGAAGGGAATCTACATTTTGGGTGAGCCATCCTTCCTCCTTTCTGAGAAACAGTGCAGGTCTCAGAGTTCCCCAAGGGCCGTGGCCCAGGGAGACCCACCGACCCGCCTGAGACGTAGCCTGGGACTGGGGCATCTGACTTATTTCCTGTGGCTGCTCCACAAATTTCCAAACCTTGGGTGTCTAAAAACAATAGAAATTCATCCTCTCGCAGTTTTAGAGGCCAGAAAGCTGAAATCCAGGCGTCAGCAGGGCCATGCTGTCTTGAAAGTCCCAGGGAGGGAATCCTTCCTTGATGGCTGGGCTGGCCGTCCTCGGCGGTCCTGGGCTTGTGGCTGCATCACTTCATCTGCACGTGACTGTCTTCCCTCTGTGTCTCTTCTCTTCCTTTAATGACACCAGTCATCTGGTATTAAGTATCTGCTTCACTTTAGTGTGACTTCATTCTAATTAATTGCATCCCAAACCACCCTATTTCCAAATGAGATCACATTCTGAGACTCCTGGTGAATGTTAATTAGTGGGGACACTATTGAACCCCCCAATGCCCGGCCATCACCATCCACACATACATAACTCTTCAGAACACATCCCTACTCAGGGCAGGGACCCCACTTGGATTTCCAGTCCAGGTGAGACAGGCCCAGGGGTGGTTTTCTGAATAAAACCACATCCACTCACTCCAGGAAGGCATGGCCTCACTAGTGGGAGGTCAGCAAATGCCAGTCTCCATCAGGACAGACCTGCGCACGCCCAGGGACACCCATTCTGAATTTTTTCCTCTTTACAGAGGTGCTTCAGGACTGTGTGGGTCCTGGCCAATGCCTTGATGCAGCCTTGAGGGGAACGAGCCCTCTGAGGTTCCCACTGAGCTACCCTAGACCCAAGGCTCTGGTCCAGACCTGAAAGCTGGCATTGGCTCCTGCAGGTACCCCCTCCCCCGCCAAGGGCCTAATTCGGTGACCTTTCCACCAGAGCTGCCAAGAAGGCCCCACCCCTGTCTTCCTGACTGAGCAGCCCCCTGCCCTCAAACCCATGCAGGAGTGGTGGGTTCCTGGCCTCTTGTAACCCAGCTGAATATTTTCCAGGTTACCTAACCAAACTCCTGCAAAACCACACCGCCTATGCCTGTGACGGGGACCATTTGAGCCTCCAGTGCCCTCGGCATTCTACGATAAGTGTTCAATCGGCATTTTATGGGCAAGATTACCAAATGTGTAATTCCCAGCAGCCTGCCTCCCAGAGGGAAGACAGCTTAACCTGTGTGGCACCCACCACTTTCCAGGTATTGCCTTTTATAGATGTGTTAATATGATAAAATGGTTTCAACACACTCCCTCACTCTCTGTGTCTCTGTGTGTATATGTATACATTTTTGTGATTATGTAGTTCACTCCAAGAAAAACTGACCCATGAAAATTACAATTTATACAACTGTCAGTTTTGCTGGTGAGTTGTTATTTGCTTCTCAAAAGAGTTCTTTGCCAGACAAGTTTAAATAGAGTTGGTTCCTACTGGAGATCTCCCTTAGTACACTTGCGATATGAATTCCTTTGTGGGCACACTCCTTACTGCACTCAAGCAAAGAATAGCCATGTTGGGCTTTGACCTCTGGGCCCACATTTCCCATAAAGGCCCCAGTAGGAAAGGAAGGCTGTGGAATCTTTAATGGAAACCACAATAATCTCTGTGAGGCAGACTTCTGAGGTCGTGACCAACTTCTTAGAAAATGTACTCAGGCAAGGGAAATATCAATAATGGTCTTGTGCCTTTTTATGGTTTACTTTTCCAGTTGCAGATAATCACGTTCTTCTTGTTTGGAGCTATTTTGGAGCTCTGTTGAATTCGTCTTTTTACTGCATAGTACCAGGAATAGGGGTAGAGGGGAGGGTTTAAGTCATTCTTTTTGTGGCCGGCACATTTAGGGAACGATTTGGTATAGTTAAAGGTCAAACTAGTATTTCAGTGACGGTTTTAGACTGTTCATGGCTTTCAGTTATCTGATTATCTAAACAACTTCGACTCTACCTTCCCTGGCACCTCAACATTTATAACTAGTTGGTCAAGATGAATTGCTGAGTCACTTGGCCTTGGATTTTTTTTCCTTTAATGCCCTCCTAGTTCCTCATAAATATGTATGAAGCAAGGAGTTTAGAGCAGGTGGCAAGTTAGAAGTCAGTTTGATTTTGTCAGGTATAGCAAACGTGGATAAAGATATTACAGAGAAAAATGATTGCATTTTTAAAAAGATAAATTTACTAGGAAGACTAAGGAGAAATAGAATTAGCTTTAGTGCTATGTAGCCCTCCCTGAGGCCCAAAAAGGAAAAGCAAAAATCGTATGACGATGTAAGGATTTTTCTATTTGTCACACCATGTCTTGCTTCCATGCCAAGCATTGTCGTGTTTGGACAGCCACATGATTGGTAAACACCAACTGAGTAGCCAAAAAGAATGTGTTTGACTGAGTTCCCTTGATGTAGTGTCCACCCCTGGGAAGAGTCAACATGTTTCCTTGGGAGCCAAGAAGCTGCTTTTCTTGTGTGTCCTGCTGTCTTAGTATGTTTTGTGCTGCTCTAACAGAATACCTGAGACTGGGTAATTTATATAGAATAGAAGTTTATTTTTCACAGTTCTGGAGAATGGGAAATTCAAGGTCAAGGTGTTGTTTGGTGTCTGGTGAGGGCCCCATCTCAGCTTCCAAGGTGGCACCTTGAACACTGCATCCTTCTGGGGCAGGGGTGATGCTGGTCCTCAGTTGGCAGAAGAGTGAAAGGGGCAGGAGAGGGAGTGAAACTTGGCCCTTTTTAGTGAGCCTAGTCCCACTATAACAGCCTACCCTGAAATAACAGCATTAATCCACTCAAGAGGGTGGAGTTCTCCTGGCCTAACCGTCTCTTAAAAAGTCTCCACATCCTAATACTGTTACAATGGCAATTAAATTTCAACAGGAGTTTTGGAGAAGATAAACATTCCAACAAGAGCATCCATGCCACCCCCACCCAGTTCTTCCCCTGGATGCCATGTCCCTCCTGGCCCACCCCTCCCTGGCTCCCAGGCCATTTGCCCTTCTAGGTGCATGAAAAGAACTTCAGCCAGGGCCAAAAGGGCAAAAGTGCCTATTTTGTGCAAGTCTGAACTCCTGGTGTGCTGGCATCCCAAAACATGGGCACCATCCTCACCCTTATACAGGTAGCCCTGAGGGAAGAGGTCGTTCCCTAACCAGGCTGACAAGTTAGCATTTGTGAACCCAATTCTGATGTCGTTCAGATGGTTCGTTTGCCAGAAACATCTCCATGCACAGCACTTTGAGCCAGAGATCAAGAGATCCTTTACTTTGTGTCTTTTAAGCTGCCCTAGGAGCTGAGGCAGGGTGCTTCCATGGAAGGAGGTTGCTTAAGGTAGGGAGAGAACATGTTCACATGGGAGACGACAGCTGCCCAGGAAGTCCCCTTCTCTGCATCTTTCAGCTCTTAACACAGTTTGGAACTAGACCTGCCCTGGGGCCTCCAGAGACATCTAAGGGCTGAGTCATTTCACCAAGACCTTGGCCACATCAATATGCTCAATCCTCTGAAAGCTACACCTCCCAGAGGTTCAGAGATTTCCCTGGAGATTTTTCCTGATGGGTGCATATCTCCTGGGCCCCGGAGGTGACAGGTGATCCTGGTAGGGCTGTGTTCTGCACGGAAATATTCCACGAGAGCAAGGCCACTCAGGCTCATGAATCTACACTAAATTTAGGTTGAAGTATTAAATAGATTCTTGGGAACCTGGTTTTTTCATTATAGTCGGTGTCCTTGTTAACAGGACCAGGTTCAGGACCTCAGTGTTTTATCACTGGCACCGTTCATTCCATGTGGGAACTGAGACTTGAATGCACAGCAACAAAATGTGGACCTTTCCCAGGCCTGGAGTAGGGTGTTCTGTGAGCTTCTCCTGGGCAGATTCATTAACAAATGAGAGAGTTACCCAGAAAAAATCAGGAGAGATTAAGATTTGAAGGGAAGCAGAAAGTCTTGAGTATTCTACCAAGAAAACTGGTTGCCAAGGGAGAAGTAGGCCACAAACTCTTGAGTTTGGTGAGGGTAGGAATCAGCTTTTTAATTTTCATTTGTTGGCCTGGGTAATGGGTCATCAGCTGGGGGAGGATTCAGGTCTCCAAGGCCTCCCCCAATGCCCATCTCTCCTGTGGCCTGTGGAGGGCCGTTTCTAAGGATGAGGAGCCAGGACTGTGACTTCTCATGGCCGAAGCTCTCTCGGCTTAAAGCTAGGGGATCCCTCCTCAAAGGGGACCTCGAAGCTCCCCTGCAGCCCCACATGTGCAGACACTCTGGAGCCTCAGCAACTTGCCTTTGCTGGAAGTGTCTGCAGCGGCACCAGTCACAGTGGGTAGGAGGCTGGTTTTCTTTTTCTTTTTTTTTTTTTTT